TTAAAATTTTTTATATTATCTCATATATTTAATAGTGTTACAAACCGATTAATCCAATTGAACCACACTGATCCGATTTAAGTTGGATTGGTTTGATTATCATATAATAATGGATTGAATTAGTTTAAAAATTTTACTAATCAATTAAATTGAATTAATTTAAAAAATATTAAAATTCAAATCAAACCACACCACGAACACCCTTACCAGAAATGAGATTGGAAAACAATGATGTTGGAAAATAAGTCCCTAACGTGTACAAATCCCAAAATCATTTTTCTCGGATTCAGACGTGACACAATTTGTCTTCACACATAAGGAATAAGTTTGAATGATCAAAGACACTATTTTTCTTTTTTTTCTTTTTTTTTTTTTCTTTTTTTTGAGGAAAAGGAAATTTTAATATATTAGATAGAGTAAGATTACAGTTAAGAGTTTAAGATACATCATCAGTAAGTAGTAATTGCAGCAAAATATCAGGGGGGCAATGAGCCCAGTAATATGGGCATTGTCCCTTGAGAGTTGATTGTGCAACCCAGTCTGCTACTCTATTTCCTTCACGAGGAATAAAAGAAAACGAGAAATTAGGCCGAGAAATACAAAAGCTTCTGATGTTGTGTATGATGGAGTTGATCTCCCGAGGAAGGGATTGGTTCACATGTTGTGCATATGAGATCAAGGTCTCATTATCAAATTCAAAAATCACTTGATCCAATCCCATGTCCACTGCTGATTGTACAGCCCTCAGTAATGCATTAGCTTTAGCCATAAGAGGGGAGGCGGTAGAGCATAACCACATTCGTCCAATAAGTATCTTCCCATAAGAGTCTCTGCCCACCATGGCCAATGTCGTCAACCCGGAATTAGGCATAAAGGAGGCATCAACATTAATCTTCAAAAAACCTAGTAAAGGACGAGTCCAAATAGAGGTAACATGTTTTCTTTGCATTGTCTGCTTTGGAGGCACGAGTAAATCTCTACCAAGACATGAGCAAAATTCTTGAAACATTGAGTTAGCTTTGAACAGAATATGTTCAGGATTAAAAGTAGCATGTTCAAAATGTATCTTATTCCTTGCCTTCCATATATGCTAGCAGATGATTGCCCATTGTTCAAACAGATATGGAGTACCCATTTGTTTTTCAATATAACTTAAAAGACTCCACCACTCTGCTAGATTTTGCAACCTCAGTTGCCTCGGAATAAAACCCAAGGCTAAACCAAACCATACTGGTTCAACATGAGGGCCATAAAATAACATATGCATCAAGGACTCGTTATGAAGCTGACAGTTTTGACAGAGGCCATTGTTCACAACCCCCTTACTAAATAAATTTTCCAGAGTAGGTAATCTATTATGGATAGCTCTCCATAAGAAAACCTTAATTTTAGGGGGTAATTTGAGTTTCCAAAGGTGTTTCCATTCTGCAGGGGAAAGAGATGATTGATTTTCTGAAATATCAAATCCATGGACACATTTGTAGGTGAGGAAATAAGCACTTTTGACAGTGAAGTTTCCATATTTATTATAATGCTAGATAAAAGCATCAACACAAGTTGCTATTGGAATTTTTGCAATTTCCCTACACTCCTCATTTGTGAAGCAGTTACTTAATTTATGACTATCCCATTTCCCTCTTTCATCTAGTAAGTCGCAAACATAAGTATAGAGAGATTCAGTATTAGGAGTAGACAGTACCTTGAACTGTGGTAGAGATGGAACCCATGCATCTTCATAGATCAGGATCTTCCTTCTGTCACCCACATTCCATCGTGTTCCAAGTTGAAGAATTTCTCTTCCCTTTAGAATACTTGTCCATGCCCAAGATCGGTGGCTTCCTTTCCTATCTGAAAAGAAGGATGCTTCCCTGAAATATAGGCTTTTGAGTACTCACACCCATAAAGATTGGGGGTTCTGCACCAGCCTCCAAGCTTGTCGAGCCAACATAGCCAAGTTAAAACAAAATAAATCCTTAAAACTCATTCCTCCAGATTGCTTACTTTTAGTCATTATCTTCCAACTAAGCCAACTTATTTTCCTCTCTTCTTGTTGTTGCCCCCACCAAAAGTTATAGATTAATCTATTGATGTCCTTGCAAATGTTACTTGGGAATAAAAAGCAAGACATAGTGTAAGTTGGGATAGCCATAGCAACTACCTTAATGAGGATTTCTCTACTAGCCTGAGATAACAATGCCACCTTCCATTGCTTCCATTGCTTCAATTTTTTTGTGTATTCTTTCAATAACATATTTCAAACTAGCTTTTTTAGATTTCCCCCAAGAGGTTGGCAAGCCAAGATATTTACTAACAGTAGAATGACAATTAATACCAAGTTGGCTACAGATTGACGCACAAAACTCTCTCGGAGTATTAGTACTAAAAATGACAGCAGATTTGGCAAAATTAATTCTTTGCCATGTAATATCCCCATATTGCTACAAAATAGACTGTAAATGACTCACCTCCTCCATCTTTGCTTTGCAAAAAACAAAAGAGTCATCAACGAATAGAAGCTGGCTTATGGTCGGGCTTCTGTTGCGTATTTTATATCCAGATAACTTCTTATTAGCCTCTACTGTCATTAATAAATGAGACAAAATGTAAGCAATAAAGATATAAAGATAAGAAGAAATAGGATCCCCTTGACGAAGTCCTCGTTGAAGGATGAAAAGAGGAGTTGGTATACCATTTACAACTACTGTATATGATACAGTAGTGACACATTGCATCACCCAGTGAATCCATTTATCACAAAAACCATGAGCACGTAACACATGCTCAAGACAACCCCAATCTACACTATCATATGCTTTCCGTATATCGAGCTGAAGAGCCAAAAAACCATTCACCCCTGTTTTCTTCAACTTCAAGCCATGAAAAGCTTCATGAGCAATTAAAATGTTATCTTGTATAGATCTTCCAGGGATGAAGGCAGATTGAAAAGGAAAGATAAGACCATCAAGATAACCTTTTAGTCGATTAGCTAACAGCTTAGAAATAATCTTATAGGAAAAATTACATAAAGAGATGGGGCGGTACTGAGTTATCACTTATGGGTTTCTAACCTTGGGAATTAGCACAATTTGAGTTATATTCATCTCCCTCAGCATATAACCATGTTCAAAAAAGTGCCTTACAGCTTTGCAGACATCATTTGCAATTATGTCCCAATGTTGTTGATAAAAGTAGCCAGGGAAACCATCGGGTCCAAGAGCTTTATGGGGGCCAAGCTGAAAAATAGTAGCTTTAATTTCATCATCTAAAACATCTTTACATAAATCCGCATTCATTTGATCTAAAACAGAGGGTCGGATGAGGTCAGTAAGCACAGTATAATTAAAAGCATTTTGAGAGGAGTATGCTTGTTGATAATGTGAAAAGATATGGTTCCGAAGTGTGTCTTCCTTATCCATAATTCTACCTATGTCATCTTTTAATTGAAAAATATAATTGTTTTGCCATCGTCGAGAAGCAACAGCATGGAAATATCTGGAATTCTTATCCCCAAAGTTGATCCAATTTGCTCGAGCCCTTTGAAACTAATGAGCTTCATCCTGAGCCCATAGAGTGTTTATTTTTCTAATTAAAGTTTCCTCCTGCTTTGTAGTTCTGATAGATAGTTGATTGCATTGCAAAACATCAAGTTCTTGCTACAGTCAATCAATTTCCTGATGTGGTCTTTTTGGGACATTTCTACTCCAAGTTTGCAAACTATGTCTAAGATTGTGCAACTTAGACACCAAATAAAAGAGAGGAGAACTTACCTTGTTAGTGGACCATCCACTTGTTATGACTTCAAAATATCCATCTTGCACTTGCCATTTCAGTTCATATCGGAATCTCCTTTTTCTGCATTTTAGGAATGGCTTGCAAGCCTAATAACAATGGACTGTGATCAGATCCCATTCAAGTGCAGTGGAACAATTGAGCGTTAGGAAATAGTCGATGCCAACAATCTTGCATTAAAGCCCGATCAAGCCGCTCCCTAGTATTCTCCTCTCCATGCCTCCGATTGGTCCACGTATAAACTGGAACCTTGAATGCAATCTCCCTTAAAGAACATGTATTCATTAATTCATCAAGGATGGTCCTATCGGGCACTAGAGGAGGCCTTTTTCCGCGCTTATCAGCACTATCACCCACCAAGTTGAGGTCACCCATTATCATCCAAGGGATTGATATGTTTCTTCATAGATCCATCACTCGAGTCCACATTGATCTTCGAAATTGAAGATTAGGTTCCCCATAAATAAATGTAAAATGCAAAGAACTAATATAATCAGCCGTAGAGCAACAACCATCAAAGAAGAACTGATCAGTAGAGAAAAGAGAGATATTTACATCTTCAGTCCACCACAGGACCAAACCCCCCCAAATGGCCTTGTGGATCCACATACACACAATTGGAGAATCGAAATTGTCTTCATAATCGCTCCATGTAATTTCGAGATTGTCTAGTCTCCATCAAAAACACCACACACGAGCTATGTTTAAAAATTAAATCCTTAAGCACCCTTTGTGTCAGGGCTTGCCCAAGGCCCTGGCAGTTCCCTATGATGATATTCATGGTGAGAGTGGTGGCTGCCAAGGGCCAGCCACCGAAGCCCCTTCATCATGTTCCGTGTACTATGTGTGTTCAGATGAATTTGATGGAGAAGAAATAGCAGAAAGATCTAGAGCGAAATCCTCAATCATTATGGGTGGTTCAAAGGGCGGTTCATCAAATTGCTTTTGAGTGGGGTGGAAGGAATGTATCAGTGCAAATCGAGAATCAAGATGAGCTTGAACCTGAAGATGCAGGGCTTTAAGTTGTATTTTTTGGCGAACTCTTTGCACTATGATAGATTCCTCCGCATTTGTAAAGAAATAAGGCTGTTGTTTAGAGTCAAATACCGATCTGCCATATGAAAGAGTTGCTTGTAGTTGGGCTGAGGAACATAAAGGCTCGAAGCCCCCAAAATCCTGTAATTTAGGCCTTTTAAATTCTGCTCCCCAACTTCTGTTTACTCGGCTTCGTTTCTTTCCTTTAGTTGGTTCATCACCCAAATTTAGGGCCTATTTGATATGGCTTGTGAGAGTTTTTGCTTTTTGAGTATTGTTATGAGAGATAAGTTTAAATTTTTATTGGAGGGAAAATTGAGCTTTTGCTTTTAGAGAGGAAAAAGTAAATGAAAAGAGAATAAAAAGGGAGTTTATTGAAAGTTTGGATTTAAAACTTTTGAACTTTTACTGTTTAAGGTCTTTTTAAGGTTAAAAAAATGTTTTAAAGTGTAAGTTTTTAAGAGGAAAATTTAAATTCATGAAACATGAATAATATCCAAAAGTTGAAGCTCTTAGGAGTTGATCCAAACAGGCCCTTAATTGGGTTTGAATTTGGGCTGATAATAAGGATCCAGCTTCAGTAAAATCCACATTGAGGCCTGCATTCTGTTCATTATTTTCACCAGCCTTATGTGGATGAGAACGTGGGCTTAAAACTATCGGCCCAAAATGTAGAGATTGCAAGTGACTAGTGGTTTCTGGTGGTTTCTCTACTATCACTTTCACATTCAATGAAGTCGCCTTTGGGGATGTAGGTTCAAGCGAAGGTAATGATAGTTGCATATTCTGAGGAGGACACGTAGTTAATACTGCTGCAAATTGAGATCCTTCTACATTTAAACAAGAAGATAATGTCTCTGTAGATTCAGACAACACGCGCTTGCCTTCGAGTTGTTGTGCACGCTCCGCCCAGGAGCCGACCTACTCTATGCATAGCCCCATCTCTCTCCTGGACACCGAACCTTTTTCCAAGTGAGTGTCCGTAAAGGCATCGTCAACAAAATGTTCCACAAGTTTATGCTTAGTCTTGAAATGTTGAGGAACTATCCAAACTGCACCAAAGTGTTGTCGAGGGGAGTAAGCTGGGGCTCTTAACGAAGGACCGTAGTCAAGACGGGTTTGGAAAACATAATTCCCTTCTTCATCTGTCCATCGAAAATCATCACAAGTTTTTATGGTATGACCAAGCATGCCACGTCGATAGCAAAAGTCAGCAAGTTTTTCATATTTGAATTTTGCCATCTTCATTTTCGCTTTTAAATTAGCAGTTTGGAAACCTGTAAGTAGAGGCAAATGAATATCTACTTCCACCCTAAGCCTCATAAAGCTTTCCGATCCCCCCCAAGGTAGATTCATCCCAAGACATGAGTCGAGGAAAAAGGGAACCGAAGCGTTTGGCATTTTTCGCTATCATAGCGTCCTTGGCCAAACCATGCACTTGCAGCCAGAATTCTGTAGTTGAGAAATTGATCTCATCAAAGCGTTGGGACGAAGGCCAGTCCTTGATAATAGGATGAGAGCCCTTTACAAACCAGGGGGAGTTTTTCAAGATCCTCTGTCTTTTGACCTCATCTGAAAGGATAAAAATATATGTGTGCTTGGATTGTTCATGAAGCTCTAATCCTCCTTTTGGACTCCAAGCACTCTTAAGAACTCCATACACTACTCCACTGCGAATCTCCTCATGCTCAGCTACCAATCGACCAGCAAAAAAGAAACGATGAAGTTCACTATCTGGATCAGTGGGTGTAGATTCCAAGCGGACAATGAGGGTGGTTTGCAATTAGAGGAGACAGAGTCTCCCTCCTTAGAGTGCTCCTTCTGCATCGTCTCTAGCTACTATATAGAGCTGACCGTGGGGAGAGTAATAAATGCAACCAGTGAAACAAATTTAATGTGCCAGAGAACAAAGGTGTTTTCGGAAAAGCTCGCCACAAAGGTTAACAGGAAGCAGATTTGTTTTCCTAAAAGTAATAAGCAGGCGCTGAGAGCATAAAAGAACAGGGAGAGAAGGAGATGAAACCTTAAGGGATTACCTCAGGAAACAATAAAATGGGAAGCCCTAGAGAGAAAACTCCTAGAACCGACTCCCCTCTTTCAAAGACACTATTTTTTTTTTTTTAACAAAAGTGGACGTCATTGTTTCATGCTATTCTCTAACATATTATATGTTCACTTTCTTTTTCTTTTTTAATGATTTGTTTAATCTGTATTTTTAAAATATATGATAAACATATAATAAATATATATTTTTATAATTAATTTATATTAAAAATTATAAAAATCATCATATATTTTAATATTATTAATACATAAATAATTTTAATTAATTAAATTAAAATCAATATTTATATTTTTAATAAAAATTAATTATAAAAAATATATATT